AAATCATATTTATTATATTATATAACCTTAATTTAAATTTTTTGATAATGACGAGATACATTTGAAAAACAAAAAAAAAAAATTATATATTCATTATAATAAAACGATGTTCAATGAAAAAAAGAATATTTATTATAACCTAAATTTATTTTATAATATTAAATATAAACGAAATACATACGAAAAAAAAAAAAAAAAGTATTTCTAAAAATCGTTCCCGGTTCCCGGTTCAAAATCAGTTCATTTAATTTATTATATTTGATTAACGCTATAATGTTACCCATTATTTAGTTAATTTTTTATTTTCGCTATAATGTTACTTTATTTAGTCAATTTTGATCCTAACCTTCTTTTTAAGTTATCCTTTTGATCATTTAATCATCGAATTTTAATTAATTATCTTCCCTACTCGGATGAAAAACCTTTTTTTAGTAGAAGTTTCCATGTAATGGATATGTTTATTACTATTATTTATAAGTGTACGAGGTTAACATTCGGAATTAAATTCTTTTTTACTATTTGCAGAAAATTGGTCGAATTATTAATTATAGGACATATAATAATTTATATATTATAAACCAATAATTTTTTAAAGGAAAATTATTACTCGTATGAATATACAGTATTATTACTTACATATTTGTCGTATCATATGATTATACGTATAAAAAAAAAAATGTTATTTAATTAATAAAAATTATATAACTTATGATTATAGATTGATACCGGGATTTACTCTCATTATTTTTTAATTATGGGTAATTCACCGAAAATCCGAAATGTGGGATATAGTTAATTATGGATAAGTCACCGAAAATCCTTTAAATATGGAAAATAATTTTTTTTTTTTTTTTCCATAATAACCGAAATTAATTTAATAAACGGAATTATATTTCAAATTAATTTAAAAGGGTTTATAAACATATTGTAACACAAAATGCAAGACGATCATACTAATAATTTGGAGATCAGTTTTTCTTTTTTTTTTTATTTTAAATTATTATAAAACGAAAATTCTTTTATATATAAAATTTAGTTATTGAGAATGATATTAATAAAGGTTATAGATTTACAATTCCGAAAAAACGAAATATAGTATGAAAATTTAAAAAAGTTTATTATGTGTTTAAACTCGAATATTTCGGAAATCAAATGGGTAATTTATCGTCGATCAAATTTATTTTAATTGCTCTTTCAAGGTTACCTAAATTTATTCTCCCATTATTATTGGATGATGACATATAATGATTGACAATAAAAAATTGAGAAACGATACTGTAAAATATCCTAACTTAATCTCAAATACTAAAGATGGAAATAATGATAATTTTGTAAATCACTCTTTTTCAAAAGATATAAATAATCTCAAAATTTTATCATTCACTCACTCATCCTTCATATCGTTTCATCAAAAAAAAAAAAAAAAAAAAAATTTATATACAATAGAGCTGGTGCTCTAAATTTCCTCCCTTAAGTTTCTCTTTTTTTCCCCCTCTCTAAATTTTTCCCCTACTTTAAAATCTCCCATCATAAACATTTAATATCGTTTTAAACATTCTTTTTTTGATAAACTACCAATGAGGCTATCATCAGTTCTCTCAGTTTTTTTGTCATTTGCTATAATTTCTCATGGGGCTCCTATAAGCAAAAGACGTTTTGGAAATGAAGGTTCCCCACAAGCTGTCAGTATTTTTCAAGATATAAAGAATTTAACTCAAGGTACTGACAAAGAATCAGAGGGTGCTGATTTATCTGTTAGTGCAATAGAAGCACTTTTTGCTGATGCACCAGCTTGTGACCAACAAGATAAAGCAGATGAAATAATTGACCTAGGTCATGCTCTCGGAGGAGAAAAAGAGAAACAACTTATTCAACTTGCAATAACATATCGTCAATTAGAACGAAACACCCCAGAAGTAGGCCAACCATCTGAACTTTGTGAAAAATCTCCAAAAAATAAAGAAATTAATGGTTTACTTCAGGCACAAGATTTACCTAGCACAACTACCCCTAATGCTACACCTTACGAACCAGCTAAATCTGCCACAACTAACGAGCCATATTCAGATTATTCAACTGAAACTGCTACAACTAACGAACCAGATCCAGATGATCCATCTAAAACTACTAACGAGCCAGATCCAGACGATCCAGCTAAAACTACTAACGAACCAGATCCAGACGATCCAGCTAAAACTACTAACGAGCCAGATCCAGATGATCCAGCTAAAACTGCCACACCTAACGAGCCATATTCAGATTATTCAACTGAAACTGCTACAACTAACGAACCAGATCCAGATGATCCAGCTAAAACTGCCACACCCAACGAACCAGATCCAGATGATCCAGCTAAAACTGCTACAACTAACGAGCCATATTCAGATGATTCAGCTAAAACTACAACAACTAACGAGCCAGATCCATATGATCCAGCTAAAACTGCCACAACTAACGAGCCAGATCCATATGATCCAGCAAAAACTGCTAACGAACCAGATCCAGATGATCCAGCAAAAACTGCTAACGAACCAGATCCAGATGATCCAGCTAAAACTGTCACACCTAACGAACCAGATCCAGATGATCCAGCTAAAATTGAAGAATATAACGAACCAGATTCAGATGATCCAGCTAAAACTGCTAACGAGCCAGATCCAGATGATCCAGATAAGAAAGAATCAAATTCGGCTTCAAATGATGACTCTGGTAACGTTTTGCCAAAGGATTCAGACGAGGACTCAGAACATAATAATGACGGTAGCAGTGCAACATCAAATATGCCTCAAGATTTTGCATAAAAATATAGTTCATATATACTGTATGTATATGTACAAAAGTATAGATAATTAATTAATTTCATAATGTGAATTTTCTTTTTGTTTTTATTTCTTTTATTTCTAATATAATAAAATGTGAAGAATAGTGGTACCAATTTAATAATTTCATTTCCTTATATTATAGAAATATTTAACTTTAATAAAATAAAAAAGGCATATAATTAGCCTATATAATTGATTTATTCATTATAGAAGTGAAATTTCTTATATCTTTTGAACATGAAATTAACTTATAATGTAAAAAAAAAAAAATAATTTAATTCTACTCTAAAATGTACAAACCTGAATAAGTACACTAACATACAGTATATTGTATATTCATATTCTTTATTCGTAATAAAGAGTGTCATTTTACCTATATAACTATATAATTGCTTTTACAGAACTTGTCGCTAAATTACAAACTCTATCTCGCTATTATCGTTGTTTAATTTTAATAATAAAAATTTTTATTTCCGGATGGTAAAATATTTAGATTTTAATACAGCTTTCTTAGTTTGTAGTTTAAATAATTTATTTGATTATTTTATACACATAATATTATAATCACATAGAATCAAACAAAATTGCACGTGACCATTCAAGAAACTTTTTATAAAAATGTTTTATCTTTCTATGAAGATTTGATATTTTTGATTGGCTACAATTACATCATCATCTGATAAATGTTTATTTGTTTATTAAATAACGTGTCTTCTTTTTTTTTCATAGTGCCGTTTCGACTTAAAAATGGTTTGTTTGAAGCAAATTAAGTATTTTTCGTTATTTTACTGTTTTAATAATTTTGTGCTTTTTTGCTAACTTTATTTTTCTTTTTAGATAATAAGTCTACTGCTTTTATTTGAAATAGGTCTATCTTTCTTGTTTTTTCGATTTATTGTAATGACACTAACCAATTTTTTTTTCTTTTTCTTTTTTTTTATTGTTGGCGTGTTCCATTATTTTCGGTCCTGATTACTTTTTTTTCACTCTTTTCGTACCCCTTCTTGTTCTTTTCGCTTCCTTTTTACTTTATTTTTGTTCTTCATCATCTATTTCACTTCCTTTTCGTTTTCCATCATTATTTTTTACTTCTTTTCGTCTAATCACTTTTTCACTTACTTTTTACTTACTTTTTTGTCCTTATCATTTTTTCCTTTCTACTATTATTATTGTCATATCTTCTCCTTTGTTATTGCTTTTCTTTTTTTATTGGCATATTTTCCCCTTTTTTATCATTGTAATTTTCCTTTTTTTATCCCTATTTTCTTTTTAATGTTATTGATATTTTCCCTTTTTATATCATTATAACTAGTCCTGTTAAAAATAAATAATTGTAAATAATTTGATTTCAGATATTATCCCTTAAACTGTTTTGCAACCAAATTTGCCTGCAATTTTGTTTTTTAATTAAAGACATTTTTAAATACCTTAAAATATTTTATTACATAAACCAATATTTTATAATAAATTCTATAGTGTTTTCTAAGTAAAAATCGAACAAAAAGTTCCAATTTGATTAATGATTTTTTAAAAGTAAATGATCGACAAATTTAACAAATAGTAGCTAAATTTTTTAAATTAAAATATCTTTTTATCTATTAACCCTAGAAATATAAAATTACCACCATTTGATGCGTCTTAATGAGAAGAATCTGATAGAAATAAAATTGTCCTTCTACAAATATTATATGACAGGATAACTTATAAAAACTAAAAATTTATAAATTAATATAACTTTTTATTTATCAATTTTAGAGTTATGATTTTATTACCATTAAATGCGCCTTAATAAGAGGAATCTAACAAATATAATTTCATCTTTATATGATCACTAGATCTCAAGATATTTTAAAAATTTAAAAATTTTTAAAATTAATTTTAGCCCCTACAGTTTAAGGGATAAGAATAAATTCGTCAAATAAAATATACTCAGTAAAAAAATAATTTATAAGAATAAAAAAAATAATTTTTTAAAATCACTAAGTGTATAAAATTTAATAGTTTTAACATTGTATTTAACAAAACAAAATTTTAATGTACAAATTATTTTATTATTTAACAGTAGAATAAAATATTCTTTGCGAAAAAATTTTAAATTTAACCAATAAAAAATTAGTCAATTTAGTCTTTGAGAGATGAAGTAATAGTTGGGTTTGGCATCATTCAATTAAAATTATTATGAAAGCCTTTAATGATGAAAATACAGATAAGAATAACTTTGATAATGCTTATAATGTTAAAATTTTTTTGGAAATTTTACCAGTGGCTACTTTATTGAATAAACGTAATCCAGAGTTATATGAAAGTGGGAGATGTATACGCTGTAATTATACAACTGAAACATGGACACATATTTGGATATGTGATCAAACAGAGACATCAATAATTCAAATAATTAATGCAGTTTTTGAAAATTTAAAAAACAAGTTAGACAAAATAGATTTTAGAATTAATTATAATTTTCATGCAAGTTTATTATATATTTTGAACGAAAAGTCAAAAGTAGTTTTTAATGGCAGAATTTTTCATGAAGCAATCAAAGGAATTGTTAATGAAAGGTTGTTCTTGGAAATAGAAGATAAAGTTTTCAAAGATAATATAGCAAGTTTCGTAGAGGATATACATGATATGGCTAGAAAATTCATGTGGAGCGAGCGATGCAAGAGATTTATTGAATGGGAAATAAGGCAGGGTATTACGAAGCAAATGAAAAAAGCAAGTAAACTATATAAATCTTCATTGCCTAGTTTGGGTCATGATGGGAAGAAGAAAAATATTTTTATTTCAGACGTTTTACAAAGATGGACGGGGCATTATCTTAATAATGATGTAGCAGCTAAAAATATTTGGTATGAATTGGGTGTAGAAGATTTATGGAAATATAACAGTTTAGTTACTTTTAGACCTTCTTATTATTCTTCTAATTTTAGTATTTTGGATTGACTTTAGTAATTTTAGTATAGTTTTAAATTTTTAGATAGATGCTTTATTAACAGATGTATACGTCTATTATAATAGATTGTTATATATAATTATTATAATATTAATAAAGTTAAATTAAAAAAAAAAAAAAAAAAAAAAAATAATAGATATTTAATATAACGTTTGTTTATGTATAAATTGAGCATTTGTTAATAATTACTGTATAACCTCCTTTAATGATTTTATTATTTTTAATAGCATTTCATAGTAATAATTCATATGACCACTTTAATATTCCTGATAATAGTGAGGTCCTTTTTGCTTATCATCATGCAAATTTTCCCCCCAAAAAATTTTATTTATTTTTTTATTTTTTTTTTTTATTATTGTTGACTTATTATAATAAACACTATGTAATCTTTCAATAATAAAGAGTTTTAAGAACAAAAAGAGACCATTAAATAGGGAAGAACGAAGAAAAAAATAAACAAAAACAGAGCAAATAAAAGGAAAAGAGAAGGAAAATAAATGAAGAAAAAATAAATGGAAATAGCAGAGGCGTCCGATACTGTTAGAAACCTCACACCAGATGAAAAATGGGGTTTACTTTTTTGTTGTAAGTTATTCTTTGGAAATCCTGATGAAAGTTTTTAACAAAAATTAGTGGCCGTTAGTTTCGAATATCTGGATACAGTAGGATTCGTACAAACAAAAATGGTAATGTTCAGAAGGTATTCTCCTGCCATCTTACAAACCACTGGAGTCAAGTTCACAAAACAAAGAAAATATTCTGATTGAAAAGTGCCGAATAATGAAGACTCGACCATCCAAATTGTTCACGATCATAGGTGTGATCACGTGATTTGCATCCACCCTAATTTGGAATCTTTTTTATTTAATTATTAATCATTATTTCATCCCGTTACATAAATATTAAAAAAATTATAAATGATTGACAAAATAATCGCTATCGTGATTTGTGATAAAATAATAAGTAGTCACATATTTGCAAGTTACTTTCCCCAAAGCGATACAGGAAAGTTCTGTTTATTTATATGTAATTTAAAGGTTGTTCTTATTTTTAAGAACACCTCCAGTAGCTACCTATAGTCCTATACTATCAGTACTTTATTTATCAGTCATAGGAAATGTCACGTCAGTAAAAAAAAATTGTGGCGCAGTATAGTCATTAAAATAATTGTATTGCTGATGAATAATTAATAATGCAGGCCTAAATTTTACAAAAATTCAAGAGCCATATGCTACTATGATTTTATAAAAAAAATTTTGTATATCATTTATTACTTCACTTGGATCTTGCTTGGAAGTTGATATACTTTTTATTATTAAAGGTAACGAAAGTAAAAGAAACTTTAGAATTTACTTAATATAGTGAGAAATTTAAAACTTCAAACTAATACTAGCAAAATTATATATTTTTTCCTTACTTAACACTTAAAAAATAAACTTCTAGATTTAAATTTATTAAATATTTGTTTGATGATAAACCCAGCAAATATTAGCAAATACGAATATTTAAACAAATATTGGTAAGCATGATTGTAAGGATTTGGAAAAAGATTTGTAGATAAGAACTAAATTTTTACCGAGAATATGAAAATTTAATGGCAACAATCATTTGGAAGAACATGCTTGGGACGTCAGTTTTGATAGTAATTATAAGGATTTAAGTGATTTAGATAAGAACGAATCTTCATTTGAATTATACTCACAAAGGCTAAACAATTTACTTACCAAGATACTTCAGATGAAGAGAATAAAAATACAAGTGATGTAGAAAGTAATTTTGCTGATTCAGAATATGATGATGAGCGTGATGAAATTGAAATCTAAAAATGTTTTTAATAAAATCAAAGTTTTGTAACGGAACATTACGAAATTTATCCATCTCCAATATCACAAATTTAGGACAAAAATAAAGTAAGAAATGTTAGTTAAGGAAACTTCGTGAGTTTTTTTTAAAAGTAGTTTTTTTCATCAGAGGTAAAAGGAGATCATGTTAGTTGAAGATTTGATTTAATATTTACTGGTATTCCGGTACTTTAAAATCGGAACTGGTCACCTAAAAAAAGAAAAAAAAACAAAGTTAGAAATATTTCGTTAAGATAAATCAAAAAATATGATTCCTCTCTTACCGAATCCCTACGCGTCTGATGTCCTGGATGCCTAAAAAAAGAAAAACCAAAACGTTAGTAAAGCGTTTTGCTAAAAAAAAATAAACAAAAAAAAGTACTTGTAGATTCCCTATCAAAATTCTATGCATAAAGACCTGGCTTTCTAAAGAGAAAAAAAAAATTAGAAATAGAAACGTATTAGTAAAATATTTCATTAAAAGACGATGATAATAGTGGACACACAATATAAACTTGTATTATAAAAAAAAAATTTTTTTTGTATATAACATGCACCCGGTTTCATTACAAGATAAAATAATAATATCATTCAATGCTATAAAATTTTTTTAAAAAAATTAATTTATGCAAGAAAATAATAAATTAAAGTGGGAATCTAGAAAAGGAGAACAAGAAAATTAGTGAAAATATAACCTAAAAGCAATATTTCCAGATTATAAAGAGTCATAAACATAAGAACTTACAAAAAAATGTTTTAGGCCACACAAATTCGATTTTTTGGTTCACTTCATCCGGCCGGGTCACTTTTTCAAATTTCAATAAAAAAAAAGTTTATATATAAAAAGTTTATCATGTGATAAATACGTAATTTTATTGGCGGGTAAGTTTATCACGTGGCCAAAATAAATTAATTACAATCAGATGCCACGATTTTACATATAAACTTTTTGGAAAAAAAAAAAAAAACTCTCTCCCCTTTCCGTTTTTTTTGTTAAAAAGCCGCAGTAATACACCTTTTTTTCACAAACACTTATAGTTTTTTCTAAGGAGCGAGGACCACTTGGTGGCCTCTACGGAAAGGTCTCCTTTTATTACCCTTGTCCTGTGAGAGAAATGGATACAGAAGATACGCCTGTTCCACTCCAGTCTGTTCATAACGAACTGACTATTTTACCTTTACCTTTACCTTTATCCTCAAATACGTTTAATAATATGTCCAACGCTCATGAAAATACTTTCCTTGTCTCTGTGAAAAAATTTCACGTGATGACAAAACGCCGAACCGGTTATAACAAGATTTACGAATTTAGACGCTCAAAAAGTTTCTTTTTTGAGCTTGCTGATCCTTTCTCAGACACCAATAATCTTCATTTATATTTACACACCAATGATTATCACATGGATTCTACGCCTATTTCGTACACGTCCACGAGCTATTTGCCTAACACAAAATATCAAATTAGTAAAATGCTCACACACTTTTTTACCTTACAAAAAGTTTTACCCCGACGTATTCAACAAAAGTATTTTGATTTGATTCGCCGGAAATTACTGGAACGAATTGACTTTATCAAGTCACGTGCTTCTAAAAGAACTTTGAAGAACACCATTACAAAAACTTTCTTCTCATTTTCTTATAAGCGTTATCGCTTCCACTTTGGTATTTACATTCCTTGTGAACATGCTCATACACCTGGTTTATTTAATCTTTCCACCCGATGTCATAGCCCGAGCCCTTTCATCATGTCTCTAAATAGACATGCTTGTGGTACTCACCAATCTGAATTTTCGAGAAAAGAAATCAATCATCATTTGAAACCTGTGCCTGATTCGGACCCAGGATTTATAAATTCAAAATCTTCACACGCAGATCATGTATACGATCTTTGGCAACATCGATGGAAAAATGATATGTTTTCCAATCGTTTAGGTATTCGATACAAAGTTGGCCTTGTAGCCAACAGTAGTAATTTCATACGCAAACATTCAGGTGCCTACATTTATAGGAAACACCTTTCGGATTTCGAACTTAACCTTAGCAACAACCCTGCAACAAAGCGTAAACAGGAAACCCGCTTCAAGAGACATTGTAGGCGGGTCTTTAAAAATATTAATCCTACATCCCGCACTATAAAAGAGGATAAACTTGCTGCAGGAAGACGTTACCGCTTCCTGTTCTATGAATCTCAACATATCTATTCACCTATCCATCATTTGAAATTCAAACGTTTTCCAAAGGAGAAATTATTACCTGATCTCAATGATTACACATTCAAGATACCTCACCACGCGCTGGAAAATTCCAGTATTACACCTATAGCTCGATCACAAGCTTCGACCTCATATAGGCCTTCTGGTGCTAATACAATTCCTCATTATTTGAATGCTGAAGAAATTGCGGCTCTTGGTACTTTTTTAGAACCGCTTAGACAAACTCCTATTTACTACGGTCATAACCCCGTAGATCCGTCAAAAGTGGACAGTAGTTATTTTTTACAATACAACCCTGAACGACCGATTTACCTCCATCAGTCAATATACGTAAATCTAACCCTCTAGATTACGATTCATCCGCCGCTAACGCAATGGGTACTACACTCAAACATTATTATCGTCGAGCATTGTCGACTCGACAATTGACGGTCTGGACTGAAGACTATCATATGTACATGAAACAACCTTCCCCACCTCCAATGCCTTCCAAAAAGAAACAGCGTAACAAGTGGAAGAAATGGATGGATAAATATCAAGATTACAATGATTTTATAAGTAAACCGTACGCTCCTAGACCTTATCAGTCAGCCGCTTACCATAGAGATCTCTTTGGTTCGCTTTCACATACCTCAGATGATACTAAATCAGTGGAATATCGACCTAACAAGAGGGATACGGTGTCCTATCCTTCCGCTTCGTCACAATCACATGACCATAAACGACCAAGACCAGCGAATAGTTACCTATCTGACTCCCTATTTTCTAGTCTTAATTCTAATTAATTTAGTTTTTTCTTTTTTTTATATATATATATTACTCATGTAATGAGTCTTAAATTCATTTTTTTCTATTTTATACTTTACATTCTACATTTTGGCGTCTAACTTACCCCTACGTCATCATGCATGTTTGTAAACATATCAAACAATTTAGAATAGTGTGAACCACTCCACTTATGACAGTATTGACAAGTGGCAGCCTTAGGGCTGAAAGCAAAATACGGGTTTTATTAATTTTTCTTGTTCATTTTTCTTGGGATTTTGGTAAGACTGTTTTAGTTCTTCTTTTTCTTTACCTGTTTTCTCCACGACATAAGGCTATACCTGTTTGTCATTTGTAAAGAACGGGCAAGGCGACTCCTTCGGGCTTCACCCGAGAAGTTGGGTTTTATCACTAGCTTAGAATTCATTAGACTTTTAGTTTAAAATTGTTCTTTTGTAATGTTGGATCCCAGTCGTGTTGATATTTTAAAAATAAAATAAAAATAAAATATAAACTTTTTTTATTAATAAACAATAAACCCTGGGTCCCCAGGTCAATTTTAAATTTTAATGTTACGTGAACCAAAAAATTGAATTTGTGTGGCCTTATTTTGCTTTTTATTGCATTTAGCACGATATTTTTAAATCTGATAATAAGTCATCTTTTTTACAAAAATAAAAAAAAAAATAGAGCATAAGAAAAATGTAACGAATAATTACTACAATCTGTTGTGGCGTATTTAATAGGTATTCGTCACTTCGCTCGCTACTGCCAATTTCTTTAGTAGAATAAATTTCTATCCAAAATTATTCAAATCGTCAATTTATTTCCAACAAACTGTCAGTTCAAACCTTTAAGGTCTAGACCTTTACCTAACAACTGATTCGTAAACGCTTTCACCTCCACCGATTGACCCAATATTTTTGCTAGTTCCATCATCTAACACACTTCAAATCATGGTAACGATGATCCATGACAAACATTTTGATGACTTCTTTACATGAACGACACGAACTATACTTGGAGTACAGTATATATGCAAATACTTGTGACCCCACGAGAACTTCACAAATGTATAAATATCAAGTCTATTGCAAGACTCTAAAACAAACGAGTAAGAAAAAATATATACGAGACTATAATTTCCTGAAAATAAAAATAAAATACCCGTACACGTCTTATCTACTTTTGTATTATCAGTGATTAATAACTTTGTTTTGAATTTCATTTATATTTGTTGAGGGGCAAGATTGACTAGCATCTGGCTCTTATTTTTTGTAACACATCTTCGATTATGTGAAAAGCTGATATCAATGTCCGTACAATTCAAAATTATATAGGCGGACTCGCAGCAAAAGGTGAGGTTCAGACAATCACGTAATTTCAAGAAAATCGCAATTTAAGTTTTCGCATGATTTTCATGTGATTTTTCTTAATTTTTCTTTATAACTTAAAAAAATTTTTTTACAGCCAACATTTGAAAATATTAGCTTCCATTTTGCATATCATATTCCATATTTTTTATTAAAAATAAAAAAATGATTTTACGATATTTCTGACGTTTTTTTAATAACAGCAGTACATACAATGGAAAAAAAAACTTAAATTGCGAGTCTTTTTACTAAATATATTTGATCCCCCAGACCGATACTCAAAATCTGATTGGTTGGCCGAACTCACCTTTTGCTGCGGCTCTGCCCATATGTGAAATAATATTTGCAAAAATAAATAAGTTAATTGCTTGGCTATTAAGAATGGTCATCGGTCCTAACGGTCCTACTCAGTCCGGTCCCAGGACTTGTAGGACTGGACTGCGGTCTTGCATTTTTTATGGCGCAGTAGGACCAGTCCTCATACCAGTCTTCATATAATAAATTAAATTTAAAGCTAAAAAAAAAAAAATACTGATTGGTCTTAAAAAGACTGTGGTCCTTAAAAAGACCGATGGTCTTATTATATGTGATACAGGACCGAAAGACCGCAGTTCTACACCAAGATGGACCAGTCTGTCTTTTTAAGGTGTAAGACTGTAGGACCACGGTTAGGACTGATGACCATCTTTATTAGCTATTCATAGTTCTATTTTACAAAGCGAAATGATATTCTTACTAATACCCGTAAAGCACCTTTATTTAAACCTATATCCAACAATAACTCTATGATCTGGCTTCTTCATTGATATTCTAGATATAATAAAATAGACATAAATCTTACATGAACATACAGTGACAGAAATAAATGAACATTAACTTTAAAAGTTTTTTGTCAACATTGACATTAGTTTACAAGAACTGAAGTCGCTTTTTGCGAATTTGCACAGCTTCCACTTGCGCACGCAATTAGGTATTATTGCAACCAATCAAGTAGGTCAGGAGAGATCGGCACACATTTACTATTAGCTCTACGCATTTCTTCAGGGCCGGCACTATGTAATGCTGGTCGGAATTATCCACAAATAGAAGCGATCTACATTATTTTTTGGCTCATTCTCAGGACCTGTCCTTGCTCGGGTCCTACTAGGACTGCTTAAATTAATTTTGGAAAATAAAACAATGTTTGGGATGCAGATCTCTTAAATCAACGGTAACCTAATCCAAAAATAGTAAATAAAACAAAGTAAAATAGTAGTCGCTATAAAAATCATGATTTGACCGCAGATCAGCTGGTTTAGGCGATAAATGAAAAGAATTTTGTTTGCATGTGATGTTCTTAATATAGTTTAACCAATAATCTTATTATTAAACTATATAAACAGTGTATGTGACCTTTTATTTATCGTTCTTATTTTTATTTTTATTTTTTTTTTAAAAAAAATAAAAATCATGGGTCTAATCAATATTGACATCAGATTGGTCATTTTCTTGTTTTCTATTTTCATAGCTTTCTCATATTCTATTTTCGCAGCTTCATTATGTATGACAGTTTTGTTTGTGATATGTCGAGACTGGTTTCTTTTTTGTGATTTTTATTCCGCTGATGAAGAATATGAAGAATTTAAACGTGTTTTTAAATCCAGTATTAAACATGAATTTGCATCTATTGATGATGGATCCAAACGTTTAATTGAATCTATTGAAGATGAAATTAAACCTTTAAAAATAAAATTAATGTATTATCCGATTTTGATGATTAATCAGATCAAGATGATGATTTTTCTTGATTTTTATATTCCTTATCTTAAACGTGAAACTAGTTTTGCTATAATGAGAGAGATGCGTATGGAAGAATTCAGATCTTTTCTTTATTATGTAACTAACATTGAAAATTTTTTTGAAAAAATTTTTTATTCATGTTTCATTTCCACAAAAATTATATTAACTTCATCATATGCATCTATATTGTTTGTTATATTAGATTCAAATTATTTATTTGACCTTAGTTTCTTAGAAATAGGTGCCTTGGAAATACTTCTTTTTTCATATATTTTATTATTATTTTGCATGGAGTTTTATGATTTTCCTATTAAATTTATATATATACCTAGTGGCATAATAAAAGAGGGCCTTGTAGTAGATTGTAATGAGTGCTTAGAAAATTTAACCAAAAATACTGAAGACGATAATGACGAGAATAAATGGTGTCAATCATGTCAAACGAATTATTTTGTAAAAAATTTTAAAAATTGGACTAGTGAAAATGTAAAGATTGATGATTATATTCGACAAAAGCAATTAGAAAAAATTAATGATCCAAAATATACGACATTTGAATGGATACTACACTATGATTTTGGAAAAACTGAAAAAATGGAAAATTATGATGAATCCTGTACGCTCTACTCATCAATATGGAGGGATGGTCCATTGTATTATGATTTTAATAAAAAAATATATAGGAGGAAATCAAATAGAAAAGTTGTTATAAAAGTTATAAAAAGTACCAATTCACTAAGTGCAACTGAATTTATAAAAGAGGTAATTATCATTATTTTAAAATTAAATTAGTTGATTATGTTAAAGATTGTTAAAATGTGCTGCATTAATTAACTGATTTTCTTCTTTTTTTTTTATTCGATAACTACTTATTTTATTAGATTGAAAAACATGATTCATTTCGCATTGGACGTAAAATAATTGCAATAACTCAACATCCATATACAAAAGAGTATATGATGGTTTATCATGGCTTTTGCGAAAATTGTGGCATGCGAGCGTATGAATGGTGTAGAGAATGTCAATTAAAAGATTTAGAAAACAAGTTTATTAGCGAGGATAAAACTATTAATAAATTGATTCAAGAAATTCGATCAAGACAAATAAAAGTTGACGATAATATATTTGAATGGATACCGTATGATCATTTAAATATTACTCGAAAAATAGGCAATGGTCCAACTACATTATATTTAGCAACATGGATTGATGGCCCGTTAAGTTATCATTCTGGAAAAAAGAAATTAATAAGAAAATCACCAAATAAAGGCGTTGCTTTAAAATATGTGTATAATTCACAAAATATAAATGAGGAAGTTCTAGATGAGGTATGAAATTATTTATACAAAATATTATCCTTTTCTTTTTTAACGTAATATTAATTTTTTTTATTATATAAGCTTATGGAATATCACTCAATTAATAGTGATCGTGATGGTCATGATCATAAAATTTATGGTATATCTCAAGATCCAGATACAAAAGATTATATTATGGTTCTTGATCATTTTGATCATTTATATTATTGTGAAAAATGCGGTTATAGTGAAATATTTAAACGTTATTATGTATGGTACGGGCATTGCATACCATGCAAATTAGATAATTTACAAAATAATTTTACAAACTGGACCAGCGGAAATGAGGAAATTGATTATTTTATCCAAAAAATGCAATTACAAATTAGTAATGGCGATATAATATTTGAATGGATACCATATGATCAATTAAGTGATATTAAAGAAACAGAAACTGATGCAGTATATTCAGCAATTTGGATTGATGGACCATCATATTGTAAGAAAGAACAAACAAGGGAATCGAATAAGAAAGTTACTTTAAAGGTACACGATTCACAAGATATAACTGAACTTCTAAAAAATGTATGAATTATAAATATTTTTGTATTTTAATATTCAAGTTTATTTACAATATATTCAATTTTTTAATAATACAATTTTTTTTATTTAATAGATTGATTCTAGTCAAATTGAAAATCATAGTAGTTGTAAAATATATGGAATATCTCAAAATCCAGATTCAAAAAATTATATTAGAATAGTTGAATTTGAACGATGTGAAAAATGTGATGAAAAATATATAGATGATAATCATATACATTATAAATGGTGTAAACCGTGTCAAATAAGCAGTTTAAATAAAAATTGGACCAGTGGAAATAAAAGGATTGATAATCTCATTCAAGAAATGCGATCGAATATAGGTGGCTATTATTATGTAATATTTGAATGGATACCTTACGATCAATTTAGTAACATTGAAAAAATAGGACAAGGTGGGTTTTCTACAGTATATTCAGCAATATGGAATGATGGTCCGTTAATTTACAATGAAGAGGAATATAAATATGAAAGAAAGTATAATGAAGAAGTTGCTTTAAAGTGTTTAGATAATTCACAAAATATTCCTGATAAATTTTTGAATGAGGTATGAAATTTTTTTATTAAATTCAATTTAAATAATAGTATTATTATAACTGAAAAATTGATATTTTAATAGATTAAAAAGTACTCAACAAAAACACGTACTTATCAAGGAAATATTCTTGAAATGTTCGGAATATCTCAAGATCCTAATACAAAAAATTATATTATGGTTCTTAAATATGCGGAAGGTGGAGATCTTAATAATTGGATGACTAATTATTATAAAGATATCGAATGGAGGGAAAAATGAAAGCAATAAATAAAATTATTCGTGGTATTAGTCACTTGCATAATAAAAATATAGTTCATCGAGATCTTCATACAGGAAATATATTAGCAACTGGTCATCTTGTTTCTTTTGATTTATTTATTTCAGATTTTGGATTATGTGGAGATATTAATGATATGAACGAAAAACATATGTGTGGAGTTATGTCTTATATGGCTCCTGAAGTGTTGAGAGGAAAACCCTATACTAAGGCGGCAGATATGTATAGCTTCGGTATGATTATGTATTTTATAGCAACTGGAAGGCAACCTTTTGCTGATCATATACATGATAAATGCCTAATATTAAATATATGTAGAGGGATGAGACCTAAAATAGAAGAGTGGGAAGCACCAAAAGAATATATTGACATAATGAAAAGTTGTTGGGATTCAAATCCAGACAATAGGCCAATTGCTTTTTTAATAGCGCTTGATACTAATACCGAATACCATGAACGTCGTAGAGCATTTTTTAAAGATTTTGATGAAGGTTATTACAAAGAAAATATTTTTAAAAATTTTAAAAGCAACCAATCAACTATTACACCTAAATCTCAATTACTTACTTTTACAGATGATCTTGATGATCTTGATACTGTGATTGATGACGATCAGAAAAATTCTGTTTAAATAGTATAAATTCTGGCAAATTTAGATTTGAGAATTGAGAAGATTATTATCGTATATAATTATATATATATATTTTTTCTTTATCAAACATTTTTATCAGAATGATATTGTTATATTTATTATATTTAAATTACTAAGTGAAATATCATATATACATATAAATAAATAAAGCTATATGTTTAGCAAATTTACAAATTTATCAATAAAATATTGTTTCCCATGAAATGTAATAATCTCATTTATAGGATATAAAATTCGATTGTTCAATATAAAATCACGTGAATGACAATTATAAGTTTCGTTAAAGGTCTGGGAAAAAGATGGAGAAGCTAAATTGTGATTCCAAATAAACTAATGAATAATGAAATGATATATCGTATGATATTTTCATTATATTGTCATCAGTATTAGATATATGAGTATAAATCACTTTGTAACGATAAAAATTACTAATCATAGGCATTTTTAGATAAATTCTGTGCATCGATTTTCATAGAGTAATTCTAAACCATTTTATGACTGTTTAATTTAAATAGCAAAAGGTTTTATTCGGGCCATAATGTGAAATCTATCTCTGGTGAAAATATTATTTTAATTGTCACTATAAAGTTAAAATTAACCAATTTTTTTTAGGTAGCTTTAAAAAAAAGGATCGAGATCTATATTCCTTTTTATTTAAATCTGTAAAGCAAAAAATTAATGATTATAGTTGAGCGAATGGTCTATCTAAAAGAGTTATTGATCATCTGGAAAAAGTTGGTTATAAAATATTTGTTCAATTTATTCAATTTATTACCTTATATTATATACTCAATTTGTCAGATTTATTTCAATTTGTGCTGACTTTGCTAATAAAAGAAAAAAATCCAATTACAAATTCATTTTGATAGTCATAATGAGCGACAAATTTAGTTTTCTTATGCCCAACGATCGATATTTGAATATGGAGAATTGAAATCTAAAATTTTATCAAACTTTTTTGTAATTTGTATAATTAAATAATATGCCATACGGGTTTTTTACCTATTTTATAAATTTGATTAAAGTGCCGAAGAAAAACTTTAAGTGATTGGATAATATGATGTAACCAAGATGATCAGTTATCCTCATAAGTTCATGCAGATTTTACATAATTGTTATTTAGGTCGGTTATCTCGTATTACTATGTATTAGCATAATAATAATATTATCGGATACGTGCTATTAGACTATTATTTAGTTTAATCATCCAATAATATATAATTAAATATTGACATTTACTAAAAATCCAAATTTAAAATATTTATATACTAGAAGAGTTTTTTTTAATAATTTTCGTCGGTTAGTTTTTTATAGGTTAGTCTTTTTTTGATGGAGAATTTTATTTAAAAGTCTTTTAATTGAAAATATTTTTTTTTAAATAAGAATATTGAGGATTTTGGCTCGAAATTTTTTTTTAATAAAATAATTTCGTTAGAGATCTTTTTTTTTATAAAAATTTATTGGAAATTTATTGGAAAATTTTATTAAATTTTACAATTTTAATAAATTTATAATAAAATTAATTATTACTAGTTGTGACCCGTTGCTTTGCAACGACTGTTGGACTCGTGAGTAGTTTTTGTAACATCCTCCAATGATAAGTGTCACCTGGCGGTTTCACCAGATTCTCAAAATAAAGCAGCCTGAGTCACGGTCTCGTAGTCGGGACACCTTTGAATAGATTATGATACGTGAAAAAATAAAAATCCTTCCAGACATAAATTATACTTCAAAGATTTGTTATACATATGATGAAATAAGCTACCCGATATTCAAATACTTGTAATACGTACTGAGAACTCTTTTTTTTTTTTTGAAAATATTATAATTTTCGGATTATATCATCTTTTTTGGGTGTGTACAAAGAAAGACAGTCATTTACAAAACACACTTCGAAATAAATACTATCAAATGCTGACATACTTCGCAACATTTTTCGGTCAACTATGTTGTCATTAGAATATACAATTAAAAAAATAACAAGAAATACGTGTATATATCTCAGAACTAACCTAATGATTGAAGGATTGTTTTACGTGCTGTATATGATCTACAACAGACTTTTCTTCAAAGGTAGTGTCGATGGGAATACTTTAAGGGCCGGTTAATTTCAGGACAATATTAGGGACACATACTGTATTGTCTGTGAACATTAAAACAGGGTTAATTCAAAAATTACGTAATGCCTATACTATAAAGTGGACATATCGCTAGCGGAAACTGATACAACATGCATTTAAGTATTAGGATTTTTGTTCATTTTATCTTTTTACTCGAAATCTTAAAACAGTTCGGGAAAGAGAGGACAAGCTACGCTTCACGTATTATTTAGTGGTTGGACGTGAAAAATAAAAAATCATGGGTTTATTCGTATACTGTTAAAGAAAATAGGAAGTGATGTTTATATCAATGAGAAATTAAATGCATGTCGAGTACCACTAGAGTATCTTGCACAGACACTTTCTTACTTTTAGACACCTGAAATAGAATAATTCGGAGCACTATATTTGGTACATATTTTAATGAAATAGTGTGACTCTTTGAACATGTGGTCGATGGGGATTTATTTAATTCCGTTTTCATTTGCACACTTGTTGGTACCTTTTGGGCACGTTATGATGATAGTCAGCTAGCATAAAAAGAGAGGTTTAAAGAAAAATTTCTACTCTTTCCATTCCATCTATCTACGATTTTTTACTCCCAATCTTTAAAGGACAACAGTATGATCTATTGTGAAAAAGAATAGAACACCAATTTTTTCTTTAGCGCGATAACCATGCGTGGAAACCCATATTTTGCTTATATTTTTTGCATACTTAAGTATAATAGAGATTAGATTTAGTACAACATTTGTCATCAACAGTGTTCAAAGGCATACAAAAGCGTACGTTCTTATTTATTTTGTAAATGAACAAAGTATTTATTTTTATTTCGAATACAGTAGTTTTGATTTATATCAATAGCTATACCATTTTGTTGTCGAAAGCGTTTTCATATTAATATAATATCAGAAGATCGATTATGGAAACGATAGGAAACGATAGGAAATATAATAAATAGAATTAAGTGATACTTTGTTAATGACGAAAAAACAGAACAGACCAAGTCCCATGATTTCATTTTTTAGTGAGGCTCTAACAAAATTAAAGTGAAAAAGCTAATGCAAATCTTGCTAATTGCTTTCTTCAATTGATTTAATAGCAAATATTATTAAAAAATTACCTTCTCGGAGAATGGTGGGATTTTACCTCTAGTCGCTTATTTACTTATCGGAAGCAAAAACATCATGGCTAGAATTGTTCCCAGGTTTATTCCTACTAAAGAGGTGATGAACAGATAAATTGCACTGCTTATCATGTTTCAATATTATATTTGTATCTTTAGCATCAAAGACATAGTATCTTTATAATCGTATTATATTCTTAGTTAAAATCTATTCAAATGTTAACTATATCCCTGTCATCTAGATGTTTTACATGTATTTAAAAGAATTGTTTTTTAAGAAAGCATATTGGATATAAAAAACTAACATCGGACGAAAAAAGATACACAATATCTCAACTATATAGTTTTATGAATACATTTGCGTAATAGCTTTCCAAATATACTATCATTTTAACACAAACTATATTATTCCAACGGCAAATATATATATTTTTTTCGTTTGACGATATTAACGTACGAACTGGCCGAGTTTAGGAGTTATGAACTTACACGTGATAGCGTTAACGTTAACTCCGGCCAGTTCGTACGTTAATATTGTGCACCCCCAGTACCCACTGACCACTGTACATTAGTCTTATTTACCATAGAGTTCCAAAATTAAGCAACCATTTTTGAATTTAATTCTGGCCAAAGTCATCATAATTCTGGCCAAAATCGCCATAATGCGGGCCAGTGTTGCTTGCTTTCGGGTTGACTGTACGGTATGGTTTACTTATTATATTTAAAAAAAATTTAAATGAGAAAACTGACAAAAAAAAATTCTAAAAATTGTTAAATTTATACCAGCGTGGAAAATATAAAGTGCTTTGTTGCTCTCCAAACTAATACCGTAAAATAAATTAAAGAAAATCAGTATCAACCAATAAATTTTGTATTTGGTGTCTGATTAAATTGTAACAAATATTCAATTTTGAGTTCTGGACTTTTAATGTTTAAATTTTCTAGTTAATAATTTAACGCTAATTACAGTAATCTTTCATTATCCATTGTAATACAAAAGTATAACACTAGTATAACAATAAAAAAAGGAGCAAGTATTGTATGACACCTCGTTTGATTTCGATCAATCAGAAAACACACATGACAATGATCGACAGTCAATTTTTTTTTATAAAAGTATAACTGATAAAGGACCCCGAGCAATATATGTATAGGTAACAATATCGTTTGCTTAGTCACATGCTATTTTAGCCACAGTTAGAGGTTAGATTTGCGTAAAATTAATGATATTTTTTGCCAATGTCATATTTTTCATTTGCTTATTTTCCTTATTTTCACAGAATTTTTGAAAAGTCATATATTACAATTGCTTATTTTTTGAGTAAATTTGGTATTATTTAATAATGCATTATATAACATTAAACTATATAAGCGATGGTATTATACTAATATGCAAAAGTTAATAGGAGATGAAAAAAATTTTAAGACGGATATTTTAGCTAAGATGATATTACTATTGAAAAAAGTGAAATTGTAAATCATAAATGCGAGAAAATTTGATCAAATAATTTTTGTAAAATATAATATTATAAAGTCATATGGTTAGATTGCTTATTTTT